AATCTCAACTATTAGTGTGAGCAACTTTGATTGCAATGCTCTGTGTCCATATGCCTCCTTTGCCAAGTCACCACCAAGGTTTCCCCAGAGGTTGACTTCCCTGAGGATCACTTACTCCTCCTTTTGTGACTAAATAGCTGAAGTTTAACTATAATGAGATAATAACTATACCCATCAGCTCCCTCCAGATGAAACACAAAAGGCTTCGTTCATGATTGGTGGCTAAAATAACCCAAATTTTTCTAACTTCAAGCTAAGTCTTTTGACATAACTTTGTTGTTGTTCAGTTACTAAGTCATGTCTGACTCTTTGCAACCCAATGGACTGTAACACACCAGGCTCCTCTGTCTTCCACTGTCTCCCAGAGTTTGCTCAAATTCATGTCCACTGAGTTGGTGATGCTTTCTAACCATCTCATCTTCTGCCGTCCTCTTCTCCTGTTGCCTTCAATCTTTCTCAGTATTTTCAGTATTTTCCAATGAGTTGGCTCTTCCCATCAGGTGGCCAAAGTACTGGAGCTTCAGCTTCAGCATCAGTCTTTCCAATGAATATTCAGGGTTGATCTCCTTTAGAACTGAGTGGTTTGATCTTCTTGCAGTCCAAGGGACTCTCAAGAATCTTCTCTAGCACCACTATTTGAAAGCATCACTTCTTCAGTGCTCAGCCTTCTTTATGGTCCAGCTCTCACATCCATACATGATTACTGGAAAAACCACAGCTTTAACTATATGCACCTTTGTCAGCAAATTGATGTCTGCTTTTTAACATGCTGTCTAGGTTTGTCAAATCTTTCCATGCAAGGAGCAAGCATCTTCTAATTTCATGGCTGCAGTCATTGTCCATTGTGATTCTGGAACCCAAGAAAATAAAACCTGTCATTGCTTCCACTTTTTCCCCTTCTATTTGCCATGAAGCAATGGGACCAGGGGGTTTCCCAGGTGGTACTAGTGGTAAAAGAACCCAACTGTCAATGCAGAAGACCTAAGAGACACAGCTTCGATCCCTGGGTCAGGAAGATCTCCTAGAGAAGGAAATGGCAGCCCACTCCAGTATTCTTGCCTGGAAAATCCCATGGACAGAGGAGCCTGGCAGGCTACACTCCACAGGGTCACAAAGAGTCAGACATGACTGAAGCAACTTAGCACGCACACACCTGCACACACGATGGGACCAGATGTCACAATCTTAGTATTGTGAAACTTTGCTGAGTTTCAAGCCAACTTTTTCACTCTTCTCTTTCAACCTCATCAGGAACCTCTTTAATTGCTCTTTACTTTCTGCCACTAGAGTGGTATCATCTGCATATCTGAGGTTGTTAATATTTCTCTCAGCAATCTGGATTGCAGCTTGTGATTCATCCAGCCCAGCATTAAGCAAAATGTACTCTGCATATAAGTTAAATAAGCAGGGTGACAATATACAGCCTTGACATACTCCTTTCCCAATTTGGAACCGGTCCATTGTTCCATTTCTGTTCCTAACTGTTGCTTCTTGAGTCACATACAGGTTTCTCAGAAGACAGGTAAGGTTGTCTGGTACTCCCATCTCTTTAAGAATTTTCCACAGTTTGTTGCAATCCACACAGTCAAAGGCTTCAGTGTACTCAATGAAGCAGATGTTTTTCTGGAATTCCCTTGCTTTCTCCATGATCCAACAAATGTTGGCAATTTGATCTCTGGTTCCTCTGCCTTTCTTAAACTCAGCTTTTATATCCGAAAGTTCTTGGTTCACAAACTATTGAAGCCTAGCTTGAGGGATTTTGAGCATCACCTTGATGACATGTGAAATGAGCACAACTGTATGGTAATTTGAACATTCTTTGGCATTGTCCTTCTTCGGGATTGGAAGAAAAACTGATCTTTTCCAGTCTTGTGGCCACTGCTGAGTTTTCCAAATTTGCTGACCTATTGAGTGCCACATTTTAACATCATCATCTTTTAGAACGTGAAATAGCTCAGTTGGAATTCCATCACCTCCACTAGCTTTGTTCATAGTAATGTTTCCTAAAGCCCACCTGACTTCACACTCCAGGATGTCTGGCTCTAGGTGAGTGAGACCTTCTGGGTCCTGAAGACCTTTCTTGTATAGTTCAGTTATCTTCTTGCCACCTCTTCTTAATCTCTTCTGCTTCTGTTAGGTCCTTACCATTTCTGTCCTTTATCATGTCCATCCTTATGTGAAATGTTCCCTTGATATCTCCAATTGTCTTGAAGAGATCTCTAGTCTTTCCCATTCTATTGTTTTCCTCTATTTCTTTGCATTCTTCATTCAAGAAGGCCTTCTTATCTCTCCTTTCTATTCTCTGGGACTCTGTATTCAGTTAGGTATATCTTTCCCTTTCTCCTTTGCCTTTCACTTCTCTTCTTTCTTTAGCAATTTGTAAAGTCTCCCCAGACAACCACAATGCCTTCTTACATTTCTTTGTTTTTGTTTTCTCTTGGATTTGGCTCAGTCTCCTGTACAATGTTATGAACCTCCGTCCATAGCTTTTCAGGCACTCTGTCTACCAGATGTAATCCCTTGAATCTATCTGTCACTTACACTAGATAATCATAAGGGATTTGATTTAGGTCATATCTGAATGGCCTAATGGTTTTCCCTACCTTCTTTGATTTAAGCCTGAATTTTTCAATAAGGAGCTCAGGATCTGAGCCACAGTCAGATCCAGGTTTGTTTTTGCTGACTATATAAAACTTCTCATCTTTGACTGCAAAGAACATAATCATGGCAACTGACTCCAGTATTCCTGGCTGGAGAACCCCATTCTAAAGTTTCCTTAATACAAATTTTAAAAATGAAACTGAATAATTTAATAACAACAACTTTATCTCCTCCAATAATCAACAACTAAATTTCCTGAAGGAGAAATCTGTAGTCATAACACACAAAAAGAGAATTTTCAGATGCCAATTAATCACCAGGAGAATTTTGAATTAATCCTCTGATGATAGAAAATAATTCCAAAGGGGCTAAACCCACAGAGGTCTTCTCTCCTTCACAGTATAATTATAAAAATAACTGAAAACTCCCAAGTACAATAAAATTCTATTTAAAATACAGTACAGTTTTTTTCACTTGCTTCCCTAGTAGCTAAGCTGGTAAAGAATCCGCCTGCTATGCAGGAGACACCACTTAGACCCTGGGTCAGGAAGTTCCCTGGAGAAGGGAGTGGAGGTACACACTCCAATATTCTTGGGCTCCCCTGGTAGCTCAGATGATAAAGAATCAGCCTGCAATGCAGGAGATGAGGGTTCCATCCCTGAGTTGGGAAGATCCCCTGGAGAAGGTTATGGCAACCCACTCCAGTATTCTTGCCTGGAGAATTCCCATGGCAGAGGAGCCTGGCAGGCTACAGTCCATGGGGTCACAAAGAATCAGACATGACTGAGCAACTAATCACAGCACAGCACACTTTTTTTATAGGGTCAAATTATCCTCCCTTTTGTATTGTCAATACATTTTCCTATATTTTAAAACAAATCACAGTTGTGCAATATGTACCTTGAATCCATCTCTAAAAATATTTACCAATTTTACATTGAAATTTTTTCCTGAAACAAAATACATATGTAAAACTCCTAAAATAATTATATCTCTGTTCCATTCTGCACTTAGGTTTGGCCTGTCCACTGGCCATTCTTATATGTGATAGAACTAAATTGCATGTTTTCCCTGAAAAGCCCCATTAACCATGAGGAAAAAAAAGCCTACCTGCTACCAAAAACAAATTAAAAAAAAAAAATCTCACCCTATGTTTCTGAAAAAAACATGATCTTTAAAAAGAAATTTTAAATGCCAAAACCAAATGTCAGAAAAAAAACTGAGATTTTTTTTTTTCCCTTCAATAAATATCCAAAGATTAAAGGAAAAGCTTTGGCTTTAGAGAATATATATATTATTCACTTCCATTTTAGGATGTTGTTTACCAAAATATCATAAATACTTAATAGCAACTGTTCCTAGTGCTTCTAGCAAAAGGCAGTAAAACGAAACATAAACCTCAGCTGTGAAAGCCCAGGAGTTTTGCTTTGCATTTCATCACTCCACTTCCCCTTCCCCTGTTTAGGATGGCCCGGATTCTAACAATCACCAGAGACAGCTCAACTGAATTCCAAACAGAAATATTATGAGCTCCAGTGAAACTATTAATCATTAAAATGGAAAGAACAACAACCGCAGTCAAATACTCTTCCGCCGGTTCGAGTTGCCTGACTGAAAGCTAAGAAATACCCATATTTGGAACAGGAAGCAATCACACATTCCAATCCAAATTTTTATTTTGTACTTCTATAAAGCCTATAAAACTTTCAAGATAGCGACGTGGTGAGGAACTCCATACTCAAAGGTTGCTCTGAGACTGGTGATGACTATCTTAAACTTGAAATCACAAACCCAGGCTCACAGTGCTCAATTTGTAAGAGTTAATTCCAAATCTCACATACAAACAAAATCCAGATCTCTAGTATTTCCCTGCATGTAAAATACTCAACAAATTTCCTTCTTAAATTCTCTCTTCAAGATAACAAGATTACTTCCTATAGTTTAAAATATATCTAAGAGGTGTCCCTTATATGTGGAATCTAAAAAGAAATCACACAAATGAACTTATAAAACAGAAAGAGACTCATAGATTCAGAGAATCTGTGATTTAGAGAAACTTATGGGGACAACTTTTTGCCAGAGAAAAGAATGAGAAGGGATGGTAAAGGAGGTTGGGATTGATATCTATACACTGCTGTATTTAAAATGGATAACCAATGAGGACCTACTGTATGCATAACACAGCTCACTGTTATGTGGCAGCCTGGATGAGAGGGGAGACGGAGGGAGAATGGATACATGTATATATATGGCTGAGTCCCTTCAGTGTTCACCCGAAACTATCATAACATTGTGAATCAGCTACACCCCCAAACAAAATAAAAAAAAATTTTTTAAGTCTTTTAATTTAAAATATGTCTAAAATGATGAGCCTTTCCTACCCCCAAAGAAATACTCACAGAATTAATTATTCCTTTAAGAGCTTGAAATCCACCTTTGACAGGGAAAACTTGTTCCTTGGAATCAGCGATTCTTTCGAGCTTTAGAAAAAGGAGGAAAAGTTCACTGAGAGGTGGCTGAGACATACAACCTTTTATACCCTTCCTTACTTGTTAGTTACATTCATCTGAAAATTGACACCAGAGGATTAATTCCTTGTAAGGAACTGGCCGGAGTAACTGGTGTACTCTAAACGCATCACAACAAAATGAACTGAGATCAGGCACAGCCCCTTTACAATTGGCCTTAAGTTGTGATTTCAAAACAGCGCAGAGCTCTACTAGCTGTAAATGTTATGAGACACAGAAACTTCACTCACACTCAACCAGACATTTAAATGTAAAAACATTTTGTGCGTGGGAAAAAAAATTTAATACATAAACCCTGTAAACTTCATGAAAAAAACATTTTTTTAAGGAAAGTCTTTAAAGATTTTTCCAACAGACTTCCCAAATCCTAAGCTCCTACAAGTCAAGTTTTCAATCAAACCAAAACATATAAACAAGACTTGTCATGATAACCTTGTCAGCTGATTAAAGAGGAGCATGCCTATTATTTTATTACTGTTCAAGAAAAACAGAGTTTTGTCTTCAGTTTAGTTAGGTAATGAAACCTATCAAAATCAGACATTACTAACACAGAGTTCAAGACAGTGGGCCATTTTTACAGAAAATCTTCAACAATTAATTGGGTTTCCGTAGTTGCTCAGATGATAAAGAATTCTGCTGCAATGCAAGGGACCCAGGTTTGATCCCTGGATTTGGGAAGATCCCCCTAGAGAATAGAATGGCAACCCAATTCAATATTCTTGCCTGAAGAATTCCATGGATAGAGGAATCTGGCAGGCTACGGTCCACAGGGTTGCAAAGAGTCAGACCCCACGAGTGACTAACACTCTGCTTCTCAGGGGGCACTAGTGGTAAAGAACCCACCTGCCAATGCAGAAGACATAGTAAGAGACACGGGTTTGGGTCAGGAAGATCCTCTGGAGGAGGGCATGGCAACCCACTCCAGTATTCTTGCCTGGAGAATCCCATGGACAGAGGAGCCCGGCAGGCTTTAGTCCACAGGGCTACAAAGAATCAGACCCAACTGAAACAACTTAGCATGCATGAAAGTGTTAGTCGTTCAGTCCTGTCTGACTCTTTGTGACCCTGCGGGCTGTGGCTTGCCAGGCTCTTCTGTCCATGGGATTCTCCAGGCAAGAATACTGGAGTGGGTAGCCATTTTCTTCTTCAGGGGATCTTCCCAACCCGGGAATCAAACCTGGGTCTCCCACATTCCTGGCAGATTCTTTACCATGGAGCCACCAAGAAAGCATGCATGCAAGTCGTGATTTTAAAATCTAATCAACTCTGCTTAAGACTGCTACGTGATTTAGATTCAAGGCTGCAGATCTGCTATACTTACTTGAGCTTGTTCAAAGTCAAGGACACCAACACAGTAAACTCTAGCCCCAAGTGACCTGGATATCTTTGCCTATTGAGAGAAAGAGAGAGGGAGAGAGAGAGGGAGACAGGTGAATGATTCACACATTAGGCTACACATGCAGAGACATACAGCAAAATACACTGGAGGGTAAAGAGCAGTTTCCGTTCAATACTCACCTCTTTCTCTGCATATGATGGCACCAGACCGTCCAACTTACCATCTGTCAGAGCAATTATGATACTGGAGGTTTTTAAGCCTCTTGCTTTCTCAATTTGCTCATTTGCCTGAAAACGAAGAAAAATTGTCCAACTCACAAGATAATCTTAACTTTTAACCAGCATGTTCCATCAAGCTGAATTTTAAGTCTGGCAAAATCAAACTGGCTTTTAAAACAGGGTAGGGCTTCCTGATGGCTCAGGCAGTAAAACGTCTGCCTGTAATGTGGGAGACCTGGGTTGGATCCCTGGGTTGGGAGGATCCGTTGGAGAAGGAAATAGCAACCCACTCCAGTACTCTTGCCTGGAAAATCCCATGGACAGAGGAGCCTGGTAGGCTACAGACCATGGGGTCGCAAAGAGTCAGACATGACTGAACGACTTCACTTCTTTCTTATTTCTTTAAAACAAGGTATTTTATATTAACTACTTTAATTTGAAATATACATATATTCACATTATAGAGTAACTACTATTGGGTGTAAATGATAAAGGTTTTTAGCCTTGACTGACTATAACCACAGAGAAAATATGGTTCTCTGAATATAGTCACAGAGAAAATGGAAAATTCCTTAAAAGGCAAACTGTCATCCAAACTTCTTTTATCACCATGGTAAATTCTTTCTATCAGTCTTATCCCTAGAACAACTAAAAGAATTTTTTTTTTAACTTTAAGGTAAGCATGTAATGGCATCTTCCAGTTTTACTAGGGAGTTATAATTTATTTTATTACAGAGTAAGGAAACGTTCTTTCCCATACTTATAAGTATAAAAGAACTTACTAGCTTTAGTCCTTCATGGATGTATGTCTCTCCTACGGGACTAACACGTTTCAAATTGTCCAAGCCTTCACTGATTTTGCCTCTGAAAATAATACAGTATAAAATTAAAAGAAAAATGGGGAAAGATCACAATAAGCACTTTTCAAAAAATGTGGCAGTTTTGCAATTAAGGCAGTTTTGCCCTGGGTTTTGAAGGCAGATAACTCCTCATACTGTCATTTTAATGAGTATTTAATAATGTCTGTATTTTAAGCATAAAATCATTCACCAGAGCCTCACCCACATATAAAAATAATTTATTTTAATTTTAAGGATTCTATTTTAATATTGTAGTAAAAATTATTACCAGACAAGTTCATCTCAGGAAGTTTCCAGAAAACACAACTTTCAAAGTATAATCCTAATCTTACTTCTTTGTAACTCAGTCACCTCCACCAACCCATGTTGATTGTCTCTTTTAATACTTGTTTTAAAATCTATCTATTCTGAACCTAACTAACTTCAGTACACTCTTTTTTCTAAGATGCCCCAAATATATTCATGTTCAACTTTTACTGCAATGAACAATTCTGTATCTCAAAAATATTCTACTTTAAAATAATTTCACTGATTTAACATTTTCACTTAACTAGATGGGAAGCCTACACTGGGCTATCTCCATGTCTATTATTTATAATGTATCCCCCAACTTTGCACTAATTACTTATTATAATGCCTTTTACAAAGTAAGTGTTCAATAAATTTTTCAAATCTACCCTAGGAAAAAAATTCATAGTTCCACAGATGATGGAGTAAATTACATAATTTATAAACTTGTTTTATCTAAATATTTATGTTTTAATATCTACAGAAACAACTTGAAACTGACTTAGTCTGAATGCAGATAAAGACCAAATATTTGGTGCTTCCCAGAAATGAGTGGCAGCGTGTCCTCAAGCATTAATGTTTGCTGCCAAAAGAGAAATGAAAAAAGACAACTGAAATCCAAGTTTACACAAACAGCTTTTGCCTGGTAAAAAAAGCCTTCTCCATTTAGTTCAGATTCTAATCATCATTACTTCTGAGGACTAGACACTAGTAGAAGACTCTAAGGAGAAAGAACTCGCCAAATGTGGGATTCAGAGTGGGAAGGTAGGTCTCTGCTTGCTTACTTCGCTGAAAGAAGCAGAGTACTCTTGCCCGTATCCATACCAGCCACTGTGACATCCTAAGTTGCTTCATTACTTTTGCAGCTACAGAGTCATAAGAGGAAAAGTGTTCCTTGGCCACACCCAACAACATCAACATACATGAGCCCTGGTCTGTCACTTTCCAGCCTCTCCTCTAACAAGTATCACTGGGACTTCCCAGGTGGTCCAGTGATAAAGAGTTCACCTTCAATGCAGGGGATGCTGGTTTGATCCCTGGAAAACTAAGATCCCACATGCCATGGGGCAACTAGGCCCGTGCACCGCAACTAAGACCTGATACAAGCAAATAAATTAAAAGGTTTTTAAATTGAAAAAAAAAAAATGTGTCACCAAATGGGAAATGGAAATCAAAACAAGATAGGGCCTTTGAGGGATCCCAAGTAACTAAAAATAAGTTATATTTTCTCTATTAGTAAATGGTGAACTGAAGGAGAAAAAATCATGTAGTAGGTCAAAAACACAACTCATCCATTTATACTGTGACTTAATGATCTAAAGGAAAGCAAGGGAGAAAATATTTAATAATAAAAGAAGACAAAATGTGTATGTTATGAAGATCAGCTCAAATCAATATCAGATTCACTGAGCTTGGCTTTAACGTTGTCTTCAACTACAACAAACAGTAATACCAAAACTACTTTGGAGTTTGTTGTGACTCTATAGCCAAGGAGGCAGCTATCAAGACAAAGTCCCCTATGAGCTCACAGGGCAGAAGTTTCTTTACCACCCTGAGTAATCGCTACACACTTCCTCTTTTCTGCTAACTACAGCTACTTCTTGCCCTGACTATCAGGAACTGCATGGTAAAAGTCTTCCTCATTCAGAAAATTCTGCTAAGCTCATATGGTTATCATATTGCTATCTCCTCTTTTCTAAGATCTTAACTTCTCTTTTCAGATGTTACTAATTTTCTGCAATGTTACTATATTCTGTGTGACTTCAAATACTTTTTGGAAAGAGGCAGAATTTAAACAAATAAAATGGGATATGAAACCTCTGTTTGATTGCTGTTGCTATTGTTGTTTTTTGTTGTTGTTGTTGGGCATCAGGGTACCAAAATCTATAATCAACTCTTTCTTCTTGACTTTATAACTATGTTGATTGAAAAGAGGGGGTGAGGCAGAGAGGCAGGGGGTGGCAGAGGCAAAAACATATTGACTCACTTTTTAATCTAAAAAATTAACACTCTCAGCTCTGTTAGTATCCTTCAAATTTCTCTGCTGAGTATGGGGAAGAAGAGATAAGAAGGGAAGAGGAAAGATAAGCAGATAAGAGAAGGGACGGGAAGGAAACATAGCAAAAACTGCGAGGCATTGGGCCACATCAATGGCCTTTCTCCAGCCACAAAACACTTGATACTGTGGACGGTGTGCATGATGTCACAACTAAGGTGAAGATGTATTTTATAAATAGTGGCATAATTAAATAGTTCACAGAAAATTCTGACTTGCCCAACTAACACAATTCAGGCATAATTTTAAGTCCTTTCACTTGTGACTAAAGATATACATTTATAAATGTATCTCTACACTTAACCTGAACTTTGTGCATTGCCTTAACTTTCCTGATTTCAAAGCTCTTTCCAGGTTTCAGTCAATCAGTCTACACACATTGGCTGAGCACCCACACATGTGAATGCTGTGATCTTACACGGTGATATGAGAACAATTTACGCCTAGTCTACAGCTACCCTCTCACCTATCTACAGGGGCAATGTTGTTCTCCACCCTGGCTGGACACTGGGATCACCTAAAAGGCTTTAAAAAGTATATATCTTCTGGACACTAATGGAAAAAATTATAATTTACTTGATGTGTGCTGGGGTCAGGGTATTTCTTGGAAATTCTCCAGAGTATTCTATAGTGCGGCCAAGAATTATGAAACTCTGACCCAGTCTAATTTAAAAACCTTTCCATGTTGTTGGAAAGGGCTTCCCTTGTGGCTCAGTTGGTAAAGAATCTGCCTGCAATGCAGGAGACCCGGGTTCGATCCCTGGGTTGGGAAAATACCCTAGAGAAGGAAATGGCAACCCACTCTAGTAATCTTGCCTGGAGAATTCCATGGAATGTTGTTGGAATGCTCTTTCCCTTACCTATTTTGCCAGTCAGTTCTTCTACTGGAGGGGTTTTGAAGGTAACTAGGATAATCTTTTAAAATGTAGAATGCAGTTTCTGGGATGTATGACTTATAGCCAGAGAGAACATGGATTTATTTCAAGCCCAATCTCATTTTCTCAACTATAAAACAAAGAGGAAAATACCTGTACCACAGGGCCATTGTGAGGATTAAACGGCACATAATAAGTACTGGGTTAGGGGACTTCTCTGGCTGTCCAGGGGCTAAGATGCCACACTTCCAGTGCAGGGGGTGTGGGTTCAATCCCTGGTCAGGAAACTAAGATCGCACAGGCCATGCAGCATGGCCAAGAAAAAAACAAGTACAGTTAGTTGTAGCTACGATGGTTGTTATTGACACTGGTCATTCCTCTGTTTGTAGGATTTTGTTCACCCAGTTTACTTTCTTCTTGATTCTACGGAGAGCTCACTCGGCAAACTGAGGGTTGAAAAAATTTGATAAAGACCCAGAAAGAAGGAGGGAAAGGAATAGAGGAAAGAAAGTTTTATACTGAAGCTTTAGTGAGAACAAATTATATGGAAAGCTATAGAATGAGGTAGGAAGACTCAGGTTTGGAGTAAATCAGAAATGAACTAAAACTTCGGTTCTGCAACTAGTGTAAGCACTGGCAGTTGTTTAATTTCCTGCAGCGCAGTTTCCATATCCATAAAATGTAAATAAGAATGGCTGCCCCAATGAAGTCTTCACTCACTCATTCCACAGACATTTACTAGGTGACTAGTATCACATTTATGAAAGTGTTAGTCGCTCAGCGACCCCAGGGACTGAAGCCCACCAGGTTCCTCTGTCCATGGAATTCTCCAGGCAAGAACACTGCAGTGGGTTGCCATTCCCTTCTCCAGGGGATCTTCCTGATCCAGGGATTGAACCTGGGTCTCCTGCATTGCAGGCAGATTCTTTACCATCTGAGGCACCGGGAAGCCCATCATCTTTATCATATAATGTTATTATATTTGGCAGCTTTGAACATTCAGAAAGCTGTGGGGTCTGGACAGAAGAGCTATTAAAGGAGCTAAGACCAGAGAAAGGAAGTGGCTAGTGCCCAAAACAAACCCTCTTCACTACAGCTTCTCCTCTGCGTTGCCATGTTGCTCTTCTAAAAACCTACAATTTGTGGCAAGCTGAATGTGAGGTGACAGGGGGCACAACGGACAGGAGTCCAGACTGCTCCAGCCAGTTCTCTATCACCACATCCTTCCGCTGTTTCATGTTAAGCAAAACTAACACCAACACTAACTCCACAGGATGGCTGTGAAAAATCAAAGGAGTCGATGCACATAAAGAATTCAGTACAAAGTCAGTGTCACATAGACATTAGTTATTATTCTTTTATCACATGTGCCAGGAACTGAGCGGGGTCATCTGCCAGCCAGCCCTCGTTCTTTCATTATGCCACCCTGCATCATACCATGAGCGCAACCCAGAGGTCAAAAATGGTGCACTGGCCACCTTAATTCCCAGCTCTAAGACTCACTAGCCTTAGTAATTTTGTGACTTTGCTAAGTTGTCCTCTCTGAGCTTGCATTTCTACCCTCTGAAAATGGGAACATTGATAGTACTTATATAGCAGAGTTGTTATAAAAATTAAAGGGACTATTACTTGTATTTTCAGGGCTTCCCTGATAGCTCAGTTGGTAAAGAATCCGCCTGCAATGCAAGAGACCCTGGCTCAACTCCTAGTTCGGGGAGATCTACTGGAGTAGCAATAGGCTACCCACTCCAGTATTCTTGGGCTTCTCCTGTGGCTCAGCTGGTA